TCCCCCTCCCCCTCCCCCTCCCCACCGCCGTGTCATTGGAGCAAGGAAGGACTTATCTTCACTCTGGATTCAATGAATGAAACTCTTCACTGACTCAACAGAGGAAGCGTCAAATTAATACTAATTTAGTTTATTGGAGTTTCATGGCGACATCAAACCTAAAAAGAAACATATAGGGTGAATAAGAATAGGCTAGATAGAGTTCAAGTTCATACCACTTAGCACTTTAAAGACAATTCCATATCCATGAATGTCTTCCTTTGTGAATGATGACATATCAAGCTTGGGAGAATTCTTGGAGAAAGGAAGGGCGATGCTTTTTAGAAACTTGCAGTCTTCTGCAGTCAATAGCTCATCAAGAAACAGCTCCTTTTGGTCTGTGGTCAATACCCGTTCAAACTGTTGAAACATGTGTGGCTTGATGAATGATTTTAAAATTTGCATTACAAAACAAGCATTCCACAATTTTTTAAGATCTTCCAGCTTCACTTACCCATTGTAGATATTTGTTCACTCGCGCTTTACGTCGTTCTAAAGTCCTTTCCGCAAGCAGCACCTCTTTCTTAATGATGTCCAGTTTAACAATATCTTCGGCTGTCAAAGAATCTAGTCAACAAGATAGTAACACTTAGACCACTAACAGTGCCTAGATGTCTTCATTAAAAGCACTGAACATTTGCAAGAGAGGACACTTATGTCCAGGATTGAACGTAAGCATTGTTTAATAGATCGTTTTCACTGTGACGCAATAAAAAATAAATCGTAAACCATCCATTGGACAAAGCTATGAAATTATGATGTTATAGAAGATAAGTAAATGAGGCACTTCTCCAAGTTTTAGGCCTGCGCGTTTCCCCAAACTTCAGATATTCGTCGAAATGTTTCGCAGATATTTCCAGAGCCCAGTATGAAAACGCCATGTTGGTGTACCTCCGTGGTACACCAATATGGCGGCCGGAAAATAGTGTAAACATCTGGAACTTACTTTGGCTATCTAGGCGACTGATTATCAGTACTGATCAAACAAGCATTTCCAGAAGCACTTCTAAAAAGGCTCAAAATCATAAGATAAGTATATGTTTTTCGACGAACTCGATCGTAGCCTTGTGTCACGACCCTCCATAAACCTGAGATTCAAAATGCTCTGGATTCCAAACGAAGAACGTTATTGAGCTGTAAAATTAATTGTAAACAGATATAAATATACCGCCTCTTATGCCTGATGAGGATAAAAACTTTGGTGGCTCTTTAGTTTTGGATCTTAGAAAGTGATGATGTGAAAACGATCTATTAGTACCTCGATCGCATTTGGCAGGTTTATTTGACATTTTCATATTACTTCATATTTGACAAAACTGTGTGTGTTTTGGTGACTTTTTATCATTGAGGACACTTTGTGATACCCATCATAAGGAATTTGAATCTCATCAGCGTTCAGTCCTGGACTGGACATATCTGGGAGAGGATGAAGATTGAGGAAGATAATCCCCCATATGGGCCCCATTCCCAAGGCAATCCGCCTCAAGTTATTTTCACTCATGGCACATTTTCTTTCACGAAAAATGATATCAACTGCGATGTGTAAATGTTTTTGTGGAGGATGAAAATACCGGTAAGACGCTCGGGTTGTCCACGTGGGTAATTGTTTTTTACAGGATTGACTATTTCTAGACCATCCTGGAATTTCTTAACTTGGATGGAATCTAATTACCCTTCATGCTCTTTTCCCATTAGCAACGAGTTCGACAAAGAAACGCGAGAGAAAGAACAAAGAAATGGGACTTACAACCTAACAACATTGTTATACAAACTTATATCTAGTTGTTTTTGGTGGTATCATGTTCGAGTTCAGCAACGTAAGAAGCCACTAAGAAGGTTATGAATCCTGGTTGTGACGAGTTTCAGCCGACTGCGTTTTGTTCACGTTTTATATGTAAAGAGCAAGCCCTTAGATAAAAAACAAACTGATTGTCTCACAGCAGCAAGGACGCTCTGGCTTAGCCTACGTCCGAACATATCCTCAAAAACTTTACCATGAGGTTTAGGAAAATTGCTCTATAAATGATCCTTGATTTCATATCGTTTTAAATTGAAAGAAACACGAAAGAGCTGTACATCCACGTTTCTATGGCAATTATACATCTGTTACTCTGACCTGACAAATCACCATCTTCATCCATATATATCTCTACTGGCAGTGAGTCGCCATACTCAGCATCTTGCATTTTGGTTGCGTGGTCCAACTCCGCTGTAACAGTCTTACCCACGTACTCTCCTTTGCGGATTTCCAGTCGATTGACTTCTTTATTGTAGCCAACGCGGCAGCACTTGAAGAGAAATGGCGCCCGTACAGTCCTTGATGCCACTTCTGGGGGAATGTACGTCCCCTTGAAATGCGCTTTCAGATGTGGCATAAGAATTTGGACAAACGGCGGCATCTCCACCTAAAATGCAAGCGAGTGAAAAGGGCTTGTGNCTTGAAATGCGCTTTCAGATGTGGCATAAGAATTTGGACAAACGGCGGCATCTCCACCTAAAATGCAAGCAAGTGAAAAGCGCTTGTGACATTGATGATCACATTTTTGCGGGCCCATATGGTATCGAAATATATCGGTCATGGCAGGGCTACCGCCAAGCAAAAGTGGATGTTGGGTTAGAAAGTCAATCCCCCATAAAGGCCCCGTTCACTGTGTAGTCTACTGCGGATAATGCGTTGCGATAATGCTTCGTGGAAGATGCAAATACGGCCAAAGAGCATTCAAAGATATTATTTGGACAAAAACTCGGATTCAGTTGGCAAATCACACTCTAAATTCTAAAATGAAGAGGCAAACACAATTTAAAGAAGGTATGAGATCTTATATTAGAAAAAAGTGGAGCAAAATTTGCTGTCGGCTACAATATTACACTTCGTCACACAATATATGTTATACAAAATTGATACCTGACGCATTCTTTTCCCTATGAGTACAAATTTGTCGCTGTAAATCACAGACGTTGCAAGAAGTAGCTCTTGATCTTCAAAATCCTTCATTTTGTTGGCATCCAGGTCAGCATTAGCCAGTACAGC